TCGGATTTAGTGCATTATGGAAGATTTCTGACATCAAACGAAACTTTGTGTGTCCATATTGTCCCTGTGTATATGATGATAGAATGGAGAAGGATTTTGCTTTTGCTCCCCCAGCTCATTATTTTCAAAAATTTCCAAATTTATTCACCAATGTAGTTATTGACATACTTCATGCAAAATTGAGAATTGTTGGCTGTTTGTTATCCCTTCAAATTTCTAAGATGACAGTGTCAGGAATTAAATCCCTCGAAGCTAAAATTCAGAAATTGAAGGGAATGTCTCAATTTCAATTTAGAAAGAAACAACCTGCCACAACACTTGCTCTACAAGCGACAAATGACAAAATTGAATTAGAAGTTCCTTATATGAATGCAGATCAAGCTGATATGATTTTGTTAAATTATGAATCAATTATGATGGAATCATTATCGGATACCCAATTTAATGATAATGATTTTAAAGTGTGGTCATCACTTAGATTCATAATATATCATTACCTTGAAGCCAGTCAAGGGCTATTGGATTTGAATTTTAAGAAAGAAGAATTGAAAGAGTATTTGAGTTTCACTAAAAAGGTTTTAAGAGAAGCCTTTCCAAATGATCAACTTGCTTACTATATTAATATTATTTTGTATCATTTACCGGATCTTTTGGAAAAGTATGGAAGCTTAACAAAATATATGAATCAAGGATGTGAAGCATATCATTCCCTTGGTAGAATGATAGGTCAAAGAAAATCAAATCATAAAGGTAAATTCAATTTACCTTCCTTTGCAGAATCTATTTTGCTTCCTACACGTACGTTATACATGTCCTCCAAGTTCAAAAAGAAATGGCACGGATTGAAAACAAATCCTAATATGCAGATTAGTTCAGAATGGCAAACAACATTGGCAACTTTAAAACAAGATTTCGAGAAACTGAAATCATGTTCTGAAAGTTTGTCAGATTTTAGTGAAGAAAAGAAAAATTCTGTATATTGCCATGTTCAAAAGAATATTTGGAAAAAAATAGTTATTGAGAACGAACCACCTGAAGCTGATGAATCAGATTCAGAAGGCAATAAGGAAGACAACAACAAAATTAAGAAGAATAATACGGTTAGAAGAA